GGTGATAGATATAGGACAGATGTCAGAGGTAGGTTCTTTACTCAGAGGGTAGTAAGGGCGTGGAATGCCCTGCCTGCAAAAGTAGTGGACTCACCAACTTTAAGGGCATTTAAATGGTCATTGGATAAACATATGGATGATAATGGAATAGTTTAGGTTAGATGGGCTTCAGATTGGTTTCACAGGTCGGCGCAACATCAAGGGCCGAAGGGCCTGTACTGCGCTGTAATGTTCTATGTTCTTTTGGATTTCTACACTGTCCTCAGTTCACAATTCTTCCAATTTAGTGCCAGCTGCAAACGTTAAAACTGTTCTCTGCACAACACAATCTAGATTAATTTACAATATGCAAAGCAAGGGTCCCAATACCAATCCCTGGGGAACTGCTCTACAAACCTTCCTCTAGCCTGAAAATACTAATTGACTATTACTCTGTTTCCTATCCCTCAACTAATTTTGAAACCATATTTCTGTTGGCCCTTTTAATTCCATGGTCAATAACTTTACTCACTCATGTTTAAGGTTACAGGTCAAATGCCTGATGCCCCTGTTTAGTTTATTTCCATTTAACAGATCTGGAGAGTGAGAGCTCAAAACCTTCAAGGTTGAAGCAGCCAATTTGTCTCCTAGCTTGTTAAATCTTCATCAGAAAATACGTTGGTGTTAAGGAATGAAAAAAATATAACAGCACTTTGTTTTAATTCATAAGTTGCTGGAAAAGCTCAGCAGGTCTGGCAGCATCTGTGAAGAAAAAATCAGAATTAACGTTTCGGGTCCGGTAACCCTTCCTCAGTTCTTTTGGTTTTTGTTTTATTTCAGTGTCTTAAAAGAGAAGAAATTAGATTTGGCTAAATGTAATTTTATGTGTTTGAGTTAATTTCAGTGTCAGTGGGTGTGTTTAAGTTAGTAATTGTATAATGCTTCTGGATTTTATTACTCAAGACTCAATGTTTATCTCACGCTTGATACACTGTTTCATTTAATTATTATCTATTTTTGCACTGTTTTATCTGTATTTTGGCATCTTCTGTATTGGTTACACAGAAATTTGAAGTTTGATTTTTTTTTTGCTATATCCTTTCCATAAAAAAAACTCTTCAATGCACCCACAGATAGAAAAACATCATTGAGCAGGTGGCCTCTAATACAAGCATTCACTTAATGAGCTTGATTTAATGAGGACTTGGACCAATTAAGTCATAACTGAGACAATGGGCTCACAGATACAATCATAAGTACCTGACAGCATAAATCTCCCAACTTAAGCAAATGGGCAAAGATGACATCATAATGTATCTTAATACAAAGTCATAAGTAGTAACAATAACAAACCACAATGAAGAGAATGTGTCCATAGATAATTTACACCTGAAGGAACCAGTCACAAGACACTGGGAGGTGACATCAGTCAAAGTCCATCGCCCTGAGAAGCCAATTAGAAACTGATCATGCATCTCTTACAACAATGGTAATGAGCCCACCTCACCGATGCCAATCAGAATGTCATGACCTAATTGATCATATTCTGGGTTGTGGAAATGACTCATAACGTCCATTTTCAATTACTGCGGAGATCAGCCAAGCAACATTTTCCTGCTCAAAGATTTCTAGAATCTGTATTATATTAATTTTAATGCTTCTACCCTTTGCAGATCAGGATTATTGATTAGTTAAACAATTATGATCCAGGAGGAGGCTATTAAGTTCATGAATTCAGTGCCAGCTCTGCAACAGTAACTGAGCCAGCACCAGCTTTCCATGCCTTCTCTGTTGCACTGCAAACTTTCTCTTGAAATCTTACCCAATTCCTTTTAAAAAGCTCCATTTGTGTCTGCTGCCACTACACTTTCAGGGTGCACATTCTCGATCCACATCAATCTTGTTTCTTGGTCAATCATCCTGATTCAGTGTCCTCAAATTCTCAATGTTTCTGGTAACTGGAATAGTTTTACTTTATTTAGTCCCTCATTATACTGTATCATTCTTCTAAATCTCTTTTCAACCTTCCCTTCTCTAAAGGTCTTCCAGTTAAGACAGAACTGAAGGAATTTCTTCTCAAACTGTTAATCTTTGCAAGTCACCACTCCAGAGAGCAGCTGAAGTTAAAATCATTGAATTATTTAAGACAGAGTTAACAGATTTTTGATCCTCAAAGCAGTCAATGGTTTTGCGGCAAGCAGGAAAGGGAAGTTAAGGTCACAATCATATCTGTTATTATTTTAATGAATGACACAGCAGACTCAAGAGGTCAAACAGCCGACTCCTGCTCTTATTTCTTACATGATTATACCAGTAGGAAACAACTGTCACTGTTATTTCTTGTTTGTAATCAAAGTAAACAGACTCAACATCTTGACTGAACTATTTTCACTGACCAGTACATCTCACTGTTAGCGTATGCAATTTGTAATTTGTTTTTGATAGTACTAACAAAAGGAGACATTGCCAGGACATCCAAAAACACATTTTACTCATCTAATAATATTGAGATCTTCAAAGTTAATTTGAGCTACCAAATCAGAATTTAATGCCTCATTAAAAAAAAAACATTGACAGTTCAGCAAACGCTTGAGGTCTACACTAACTAAACAGACAAAATGCTGACTTCAAACTCACAAAAATCAAATCTTATAACTCAAAAGTCAAGGTGGCAACCAATGAGCCAATTTAGAACAATGACAGTGACTAAAAGATTTGCCATTACTTTGAGTACAAAGACTGTTCTACTCGAATGAAAAAAAAAGACCTTTTTTCTTCGTCCAGTGACACTTCTTTTGAACTTCTTGATGCATTTGTTCTAGTATTGTTTGGTTGCTGTCTGTGCTGATCCTCCTCAATTAATGAGAAGTCAGGAAAGTTAGAAATATCAATATCAGTTGCATCTGGGACTTCCTGCAATGAGAATGATTGGATACATCATGCTCTGGACAAATTTATTTCAACTCCTTTCAAGAAGCAACCGTGGCAATTAAAAAGGAAATAACGTGTTTATTCCCAGACCAGACTTCTGGCAATACAGATGTTGAATTATTCCACGTACTGGAAATATACACATTGAATTACCCATGAATTTTGTTTCAGGTAAATGATACATTTAATTACTACCACCAGGTTGGGAGGTGTCGGGGTCAGGGTCAGGTGAGATGCTGTTGGAGAGATCTATGTTGAGCCGGGGGAGGCCCTCATTTTAACATCTATCTAGGGATTGTAGTAGGTTTTTAATCCTCTAACCTTAAGCTTAATGAGTCAGAACCCTGACATTAGGGGTCTTTCTTCATAGAGTTCTATTTGCAAGGGAATTGCCAATTTGAATTTTCAATTCCCCAGGCACTTCCCCCCAAGTCAGTTGCATTTCAATTTCCACATGGTCCTGTTTGCAACTTCAATCTATGCTGCAGAAACAGCATTCTGGCCATTCACAATATCTGGGTCATTATGTTTAATTGTGGTCAAAGTAAGACACTTACATCATACCATGTTAGTCTTTGTCTATAGCTGCACTTCTGCTTTTCAAAGAAGTTGTGTGGAATCTAGCTTAGGCCAGAGTAAACTCATGCATAATTTTATGATTTCACCAAGGGACAAATGCTGAAGGAGAACCATGTTACATTTTATGACTTAATTACAACATAAATGTGATGCCACTTTGTAGTTTAATTTTCAAAGTAAATTGTCAGGCCCCTCTTGCAGTGCATTGTTAGTGCTCCTAGCATTGGACTAGGAGCCCACGTTCAAGTCCCACCAGCTCTAGAGATGTGTAACAACATCCCTGATCAGGTTGTTTAGAAACATAGGTCAAAGCAAATCATCTGGGCAATAAAAGACAGCTTCAGGTTTCAAGCCACAGTTATGTCCTAATTTGGCTGAATTTATTAAACTTAAATTGCCTTAAACAGAAACAGTCATTTTCTAAGTGTGCAACACACTGCTACACTATTTTGGAATTAAGCTCTGTACATAGTTTTGTATGTACTTTTAAAATTTATTGTATGTCATAAGTGTATCTTTTAATCTTCATAGAATCATTAAATCCCTACAGTGTGGAAACAGGCCCTTCGGCCCAACAAGTCCACACCAAACCTCAGCGCATCCCACCCAGACCCATCCTCCTACGACCCACCTAATATACATCCTCTACCTCCCTGAACACTACAGGCAATTTAACAGGGCCAATCAACCTAACCTGCACATCTTTAGACTGTGGGAGGAAACCGGAGCACCCGGAGGAAACCCACGCAGACACGGGGAGAATGTGCAAACTCTACACAGACAGTTGCCTGAGGCTGGAATTGAACCCGGGTCCCTGGCGCTGTGAGTCAGCAGTGCTAACCACCGTGCCACCCCAAGAAATCATGAAACAGAAAAGGCAATTAACAGGAAACATCTTGAACTGTACATAACCTCAGGATAAGGAACAGGCTATTGAAGACCAGGGTGAAAAGGAATTTCTTCAGAGTGGTACATCTTCAGAAATTTTTAACCCCAGTGAGCGGTGAAAGTTTAATCACAAGCATGTTCAAAACAAATTGAACACTGAGGTATGGAAATAGTGTGGGAAAGTGGTGTTGAGGAGATACTCAGCCATGATCTAGAATGGTGATGCAGGCTCAACAGGCTGAATGGCCTACACCTGTTCTAACTGTGAAGGCAAAAATACACATTTGCACATATTTGGCATTCAATACCATATGTAATCATGGACAGCAAAATCTCAAGTTCTTACTTGTACCATGGCGACAAGTTCCTGCAATTGTCTGAGTTTCTGTTTAGCAGCATTTAATCTGTTAATTTTCTGTTGTATTTCAAAATCCTGGTCAGTTTCTTCTACAAAACTACTTCTTCGACTTGATATGGTGCCCTCACTTGCACACTCCCCTTGGACCTCTTGTTCCTGTGTTGTGTCACCATTCCTATCTTCATCTCTTTCATCATTGAAACGGGAACCTGTACAGTAAATGACAAAAAAAAATTCTACAGCTGCTTTGTGCCGACACTTTTTTTTTGAACTTGAAAGACATTAAATGACGACCCAGATTGGATGCATGAAACAAAACTACACATTGAAGATAATCAAAAAGGGGGTACAGATATGTTGTTATCCTCAGTTTGAAGTCATCAGAATGTTTTTAGTTACACTGCAAAATTCCTCAGAACTGAAAAAGGATCACTCTACCTGAAACGTTAACTCTGATTTCCCTCAACAGGTACTACCAGACCAGCTGAGCTTTTCAAGCAACTTCTGTTTTTGTTTCTGATTTACAGCATCCACAGTTCTTTTGGTTTTTGTGTTTTTATTCAGTGCCCAGCTGGTGTCTCTAAGGGCTACTGAGATTGAGCAGCAAAGTGGAATTGACTGGGTTGCTCTATACTGAGTCAAGTCCAATGGCAATCTTTTTGTACTATTAACAGCTCTGATTCTACTGCCAGAGCAGCTGTGGAGGAATTGTGGATCGAATGGAACAAAGCACGCATGTTGGCTTTCAGACTAAGACAACAACTGTCTCTGTTTTCACAATCTGACAGATATCATTCAGCAACAAGACTGATAAGTAGAAAGGCACCAGCTAGAATCATGGTTCATACTGTGATCTCTGGCAACAGTAACTGTAAGGCATCATCTTGATGGAACAAGTGTGCCAGAACTAGCTTCAAAGCTGCAAACATCAGTGGCTTTCTGCCACTATCTAGATGCAATGAGACAAAGACTGCCTCACTGCCATGTGCCATTTTAGAGCATGAGGATTCATTCACCTGTCAAGACTGTCTCAGATGGTGCTTAGTAGTCTGTACCTTAAAAGATATTTCTACGCATCAAGGAAACCATTGTACTAATTATGAGCAGGTTGACTGTGTGCACTTTAAAACCTATAGCATGAAAATGCAAAATGCACTAACATATTGCTTCTTTTAAAATTGATGAAATTTGGATTTGACAAGAAAGGTAAGTTCTTTGTATGCAGACTTCTTCACACAGGGATTGATTGTACAGTATATTGGGACATGGAATTCTTAGAACTGATGTTTGATCTTACACTCAACGTAGCTCACATGAGGTTCATCTGAAGGAAGTGGGACCTTCGAAGTTTGTAGATTTGTTGGCCTATTGTTGATTTCACACTCCGTGTTGAGAAGTCTCCCATTCCGGCAACTGGTTCCATTTTGTGGCACCATCCTGGAAGAGCCACTGATATCTGTCCAGTTACTCCTCTGTGGGTTTCTGTAGGAATAACATAAGTAGTTGTTAAAATATAGATGTAAACAATGCATCACTTAGCTATTTTTATAATGATACCTTTATTCAGATATATAGTCAAGCTCAAACCCACTTTGACCCACTACAACAAAAGTAAAAGCTGCAAGATGAGTGTATTGGGTATTTCATGTTCTAAATAACAATACCTGTCACCTCTCAAAAGGGGTTGATAGGCATTAAAGGAAATTGTGTGCAAATTATTAGACCACATACATGAATCAGCATCGACGCTTTGCAAACAGATACAGCTCTTCGGAATATTAAAATTCCTTTTTGTTACAAATTTCCAATGACGTTTATGATAGTGATAAGGCTTTTTTGCACACATCTGACACTTTTGTCTACATTTAGAACGTCCAATCTTTCCAAGTGGTCTCCTCATCTTTTGATCATTTTAATGGGGGAGATAATGGCTCAGCGGTATTATCGCTAGACTATTAATCAAATACCCAGGCGATGTCTTGGGGATGTAGATTCGAATTTAAATCTGGAAGTGAGAGTCTAATGATGACCAGGAATCCATTGCCAATTGTTGGAAAAACCTATCTGGTTCACTGATGTCCTTTCGGGAAGGAAACTGCCATCTTTACCTGCACTGGCCTACATATGACTCAGCAAGTGGTCAATTCTTAAACTACCTTCTGGGCAATTAGGGATGGGCAATAACTTCTGGGCTAGCCAGTGATGCCTTCATCCCATGAATGAATAAAAGAAATAATAGTTATGAGTGGAATATTAGCCATATTAGTCTCTCCATTTCATTCACTTGACCCCATCTCCTCTGAGCTTGCAACAATAAATTTGCCAACACAAAGGAGTCAAGGTTATTCACTGGTAGAAAACCTTTTCCATTGTTAAGATTTAATGCTCATTCTCTCAACTGCTCTTGCTTGACCCTGAGCCATGACTCCACGAATGAATACTATGCCTTCATTTCCTGGACCATTGCTGGCTTCATTTTGTCTTGAGATCTTCGCGCCACTAACTTCAACCTCATGAACGATTTCCATTAATTCTTGTCCCAATGCATCAATTTACTTCTACATTTAGTTTTTAAACTCCGTCGAATAGTCTTTATCAAGTTACATCAGAAAAAAACTGATACAGATTCTAGTTTTTTGGCCTCATTTTCAACATACATGTAAAACTCATCTAACGATTTCTGACCTTGACAATACAAGAACAAGTTGGCCATTTTAGCTTTTGAACATTTTCCGCCATTCCTTGTGATCATGGTTAATTTGAAACCAATTCCACAATCCCAACATTGCTGCATATCACATAAGACCTTTAAGTAACAAAAATCTACCATCTCACGTTTCAATTAACAATTCAACACACAAACTCCAAACTTCTACCATTCTTTGCATGAAAAAATGTTTCTTAATTCACTATTGAAAGGTCTATCTCCAATTTTATGACAATGCACCAAGTCCTAAATTTCCCAAATGTTGGAGGTAATTTCACATAATTATTCTCTCTGGTCTGAAATCTTCACCCAAATAACTCCTTCACCGTCTAAATTACAGGGAATACAACCCAAGTAGTACATGCATAAATTCTCCTCTCGGCTCAATCCTTGGGAGCCTTTGTGGTCAATCAATGCATTCTCCCTCTGAACCAGAATATCATTCCTAAGATGTGGTGACCAATGTTGTTCACAATACCATGGTTCTGGTTTGATCGAAGGTTTATATAATTTTTAATCCCTTTCATTTTATTCCTCTACATTTAACATCAGCATTTCAATGGCTTATTTGACTACTTACTCAAGAGCAAATAGGGATAGGCACAAATGTTACCATCCAAGAGACAGTCATACCCCATGTACAAACTAAAAAACAATTACACCAACTCAGTTTGTTCAGTTGTTAGAAAAAATGTCAATGTACTCCGTCATCTTATTCTCTTTTACAGACTCTAACAACAAACGTTAAACAAATTGGTCTGAAATTAACTCATTTTGATTTGAGATTGTTCTGAAATAATGGAGTGATATGTGCAATTATTCAATCTAAAGCAACTGTTCCAAAGTTCTATTGATTCAGGAAATACTGTTGGCTTCTGCATTGTTTCAAACAGCTTCTTTTAAAACTCTGCAGTAGAAACTATCTGATCTCAAGGATTTATCACACTTCAGTGCCACTATTTTTTCCATAATTGTTATCTTGCTGGCATTAATTTTTTTGAGTTCTATTCCCAACTCATTAATATTTTCCCTGGGATGTCTAGCATTCCACTTCCACTAATACAGATCAGCAAGATTGTCAGCACCTCAGTTTGATTAACGACAACAGTTTTCAAGGAGCCACACTGTTACTGATATCCCATGCAATACTAAAATTTACGTTGTTGTTGTCTTCTTCAAACTTGTTTTCATACTCCAGCCTGAAAATTCTCCAATTCTTCCACAAATAATGGCTCAACCAACCCCTATGCATTTTCACTGATCTTTACTTAACTGAGTTCTGAAGAAGGGTCACCGGACCCGAAACGTTAACACTGATTTTTCTTCACAGATGCTGCCAGACCTGCTGAACTTTTCCAGCAAATTCTGTTTTTGTTTACTTAGCTGATCCTGTTCTCACATTTAAAATCATTTCTTTCAACTCAATATATAGTTCAGCAAAAGGAATATGAATTTGTATTTGCCATGTCAGTTTTTGCATAGGAAACACAGATCATTTTTCCTTACATGCTACTCAACCTCCCACCTTTAGCCATTATAGTAACAAATGCACAATGCTGCTTTGTGCTGTTACCATAGAATCATAGAATCCCTACAGTGTGGAAACAGGCCCTTTGGCCTAACAAGTCCACACCAACCCTCAAAGCATCCCACCCAGACCCAACCCCCTATAGCCCACCTAATCTACTCATCCCTGAACACTGTGGGTAATTTAGCATGGCCAATCCACCTTGCCTGAACATCTTTGGACTGTGGAAACCAGAGCACCCAGAGGAACCCACACAGACACGGGGAGAATGTGCAAACTCCACACAGACAGTTGCCCGAGGGTGGAAAAGAACCCAGGACCTGGCACTGTGAAGCAGCAGTGCTAACCACTGAGCCACCTGTTATCCTGAAGAACAGAACTGAAGAAAATTTGAAGGAAACTTACAACTCTCAACTTTTTGTGGTCTATCTCAGTCTTTCTCACAAAATTTATTTCTATCTCTACAGATTGGTTTTCCAATTATGTCTCTTGCAAACCTAGTGACACCTGCAATTTCTTCAAAATACTTCTTGCCATGCTACTGCTCCTAAAAACTCCATTCCCTTCAATGAGATTTTCCACCTTGTGCAGGTGGTGTGGAAGTGATATAGCCAGTTCTAGGTTTTTGCTTTTGAAAAATCATGCATCTCAGATTCAAAATGCATCCTGAAACAAGTCACACAGACATGGCCTCAAAAAACGTCATTCCCAATTAGATTTTCCTAAATTTTATGCTCAGTAAGGTAAACAGCAACAGTACTGGTGAACTGTACAATGCTATTTCCAGTGTTGGGTAACACTTCCAGGTGAGATACAGCCACAAACCAAGCAAAGCTGTTTCAACTGTTCCAAGAATGTAAGATAGCCTCAAACAATGACTGTTGTTTTGAACAGACAACATTTTCCACAGCCATTCTTGAAACACTCAGATAAGATTAGTGCTAATCAGAAACATTTTGCAAACTATGCTGCAATAGCAGACTTTCAGTGGATCATCCTGTGCTGAATTCGAACCTAGGTCACAAAATTGAACGACTGTTCATGTGAAACATGATGTCAACAAGCCTTCTTACTCTTAGAGTTTTCAAACTTTACTGGTTACACAAATAACAACAAGATTAAATATACTAGCTTGTCCAAATTAAACATGATGCAAATAGTGGGTCACACCAAGGCCACTCAGGTCCGAGGATCATTACAACTAGGGTCTAAACAGGGACAAAAGAACTCAAATCCAGATGTGAGGTAAGAGACATTGCTTGTCAGCATTTGAGAATGGCTTCAAGAAGCTCCAGCAAAATTGAAATCAATGGGACAATTTGTCAATTGTCAATCAATGGGCTGGAGTCATATATATCAGATAAGAAGAGAGTTATGATTGTTGGATGTCTGTCATCCCAGTCCCAGGACATCCAGCAATCATAACTATCTTCCTCTCTGCTCGATCTTCAGGATAGATATTTAATCAACTTGTTCAGATATGTAATGATACATGTCTGGGGCAGGTGCAACTTGAACCTGGACCTTCTGACAGAGGTAGAGGCTTTACCACTGCGCCACAAGAACCTTCACATTCCTCAGACAGTGTCCTAGGCCCAACCATCTTCAACTGTTTCATGAATTACTTTCCTTCAACTAGGTCAGAACTGGGGATATCTGATGCACATGAAGTACAGCACCACCCTTAACTTCTCAGATACTGAAGCAGTCCATACCTGTGTGAAGCAATACCTGGTCAGTATTCAGACTGAGACAGATAAATGGCAAGTACTATTCATACAACACAAATACTGGGAATGACTATCTCCAGCAAGAGAGAATACAACCTCCCCCTTGACATGCAATGGACGAGCACAGGTTCTCCCTCCTTTCCAGTGTCAACATCCTGCAGCTTACCAACAGCCAAAAACTGAACTGTACCAGCTACATCCACAATATGGTTACAAGAGGAGGTCAGAGGTTAGGAAATATAAGGCAAGATCTCAACTTATGACACACCCCTCCCACTGGCAAAGATGGACGGCCATCTAAAAAGGCACAAATCAATAATCTAGTGAAACAGCTTGCAGAGAAATATTGATAGGCTAAGTAAGTTGGCAAAGTGTTAGCAAATAGAGTATAATGTGTCAAACTATGAAAATGTTTACTTTGGAAAGTAGAATTAAAGGGCACAGCGTTATTTAAAATGGAGAAAAACTGCAGAAAACTGCAACACAAAGGGACTTGGGAATAGTTGTGCATGAAACACAAAATTAGCACACAGGTGCAAAAGATAATCAGGAAGGCTAATGGATGTGTGGGCCCTTAATTCCAGAGTATAAGAGTAAGGAAGTCTTATTTCAACTCTACAAGGTGCTGCTGAGACCATATCTTTGTGTACTGAAAGCAGTTTTGGTCCATTTATTTAAAAAAAAAATTTCATTGAGGCAGTTCAGGGAGGTTCACTAGGACAATCCTTGGTATGGAGGGATTGTCTTACGAGCAAAGGCTAATCAGATTGGGCCTCTACTGACTGGAATTTACAGAATGAGAGGTGATCTCATTGAAACATACAGGATTCTTCAGGGACCGGACAGGGTGAATGCTGAGAGCATATTTCCCCTCATGGGAGACTCTAGGACCAGACAGCATAGTCTCAGAATTAAGGGGCACCAATTTAAAACTGAAATGAGGGGAATTTTTGTCTCTTAGAGAGTTGAGTGTCTTTAGAACTCCTTGCCACAGGGAGCTGTGGGGCAGCTTGTGCATATTTATGGCTGAGATTGAAAGATTCTTGATTAGTATGGGAATCAAGGTTTATGGGGAAAGGGCAGTAAAGTGGATGTGAGAAGTGTTGGTTCAGCCAAGATCTTATTGAATGGCAAAGCAGGCTGGAGGAGTCGAAGGCCCCATCGTGTTCACATTTGTTACAGTCTCAGTCTCCACAATACTCAATAAACTTGACACAGGAAAAAGCAGCCCTTCTGAATGGCAGCTCATCCACCACCTTGAACATTTAATCCCGCCACTACTGTTACACAGTGGCTGTAGAGTGTACTATCCAGAAGATGCATTGCAGTGTCTCACCAAGGTTCCCACAACAGTACTACTAACACCTAGAAGGACATGGGCAGTAATGCATGAGAACACAAACAACAAGTTACCCTCCAAGCCACACACTGTTCAACATGGAACCATAATTGTTGCTGGGTCACATTCCTGGAACTGTTTTACAAACAGCATTCCTACTGTTTTGTGTATATTTGCTCATGAGATGTGGACAGCGCTGATTATTACAGCATTCATTGCCCAGGAGAAAGTGGTGGTGAGCTGTCTTCTTGAACTGTTTGCAGCCCTTGAGATGCAGAGACCATAGCAGTTCAAGGAGGCAGTTCACCAACACCTTTAGAAAATAAGAAAACACAAGGGCAATTTGGAATAAGGAATAAAAGCAGGCCTCCGACTATTCTCATATCCCGTAAACAGGTATATATCCATATTAAAACATGAGCAAACAATAATAATCACATCATAATTTTCTAAATTACTGATAAATCACAGGTTTTTAAGTTCTCCTGTTCTTTATCACTCCTGCAAAATAACGCATAACATTTATCCCACTACTTATTTATCTCACCTGATGTTTGTGATTGTTTCTGGATTCCCCTGGTCAGAGTAGTACAAAGATTCTTCCTCAGTCTCATTATCATCATCTTTTGTATGCTCATTGACAGCATCAGTCATCATATCCGAGGTCTGCTGATAATAATCAATCAATTCACGCAATTCATTTAGCCTCTTGTGAACTTCCTTGAGTTTTCTAAGGGAAGGAGTTTTAAACAGTTCACCATGGCAATTTGATTTGAAAAGTTTCAGAATAAAAAAGTTGAATTTGGAATGATAAATCCAAACGACCAAAGAGAAATCGATAAAGTAGTGACATTAACAACGAACTTATCCTACTAAAAGCTGTACCTTCATGGCTGAATTCGAAGTTAAGCTATGTGACAGACTACTGTTGTAACCAAAGTCAGGTACCAGTGAAATTTATGGGTTGGAATTTTTGCAGAGCCATTACATCATGGAATCCTCACCCATAACCAGTAATCTTAACGTAGGAGGGGAGAAACTTAAAAGTAAAATATGGTTGTGTAGTTAACTCCAAATAATTAAATTTATCACACAATACTGGTCACTCTGTTAAATTATGAAGTGTTTCAACACAGAATTATTTGGAAAATAATTCAGAGTTCTAACACTGTAAACATTACCACTGCTCTAATTGTCAGATAAATTAATTCCAAAATATACTTTCAGGATATGCTCTCAATGAGTAGACCATAAAAATCAACAATGAAATCCATTTCAGTGACTTAAAATAGAAAATAACAAGTATCAAATTTCACATTTAATTAACATAATTAACATTTAATTTAATTAACATTAATTTCAACTGTAGTTTCTTGCTCAAGTCTGCTCACTTTAAATTCTGTAACAATAATAATAATGTGTATAAGTTCTACTTCTGAATAATCTGTCAGGTTTTCACTTGTTACCACAGTTTAAGTTATTGGAAAAAATATACAATAAAATGTGAAATTGCTCAATCTGATAGATTTTACTTGGACACAACTGCTGATACAAATATTTTTTCCTCTTATTTTCTCTGATCTCTCCTGAAGGCATTGACACCTTTCTACAGAAAGAGTTATGGCAACCAGTGATCTCCATTATAGCACATTTGGTGTGTCAATAGGTTGTTCAGCCTGAGACAACATGAATGAGCATTTTGTTCATTCTATGTACACAGTTCAGTACTGGATGGCATTTACCAATGGAAAGCCAGAATAACTTTTCCTCCACTAAGCAGGGGCAGAGAAGCCAATTGTAGCACCACCTACACCAAAGATTATATCAGTTTACTTGGAATCATATTATGTTGCTTGGCCCAGCTACTCTCAAGACGAACTCTAACCAGTTAAAAGCGACAAAGATGTCTTAATCTTACAATATAACTTAAAGAAGATGCGTTGAATGGTATATACTTTCAATAAAAGATATTGGCTATGAGTTCCTTTTATTTCTCTGACAATAAAAAAATACTTTTTTTCATTGCTAGTCACAATGTTTGAATATTATTATTTGTTCAGACTTCTTTCTATAAAAACCAATAAAAATTGCGTTCAAACAATTCAAAACAACATTTACTATGTTGGCTCATGATGTAGCACAATACATAAAAGCACAATACATAATACCAAAGTGTTACCAGGTAGGTTTTCCACTTGAGCTCTAATCTGAGCTGTAGATGAGATGGAAAACTAACCAGAGGCCAGATGCCATCTTGGTGGTTCTAAAGAAGGGAATTGCTGTATGTCTTTTGCATTTTCCCATCAATGGCACTGCAGCGCAAGCAAAAGCATGGGAGCAATTGAATAAACTCCAACTCAACTCCAACTGGCAGTTTGCAAGGAAGTAGACAATAAACCAAAATTAGAGTCACACCTTGCAACAAAAAGTTTTTGATTAGAAGTTTAGATTGAAAGCTTAAATCTTTCCTTTTTCTTTATTAAAAAGGAGTCAAATTCTATTTCAGTAAAAAAAATTAAAATTACTCAAACTATCTGCTACTTGCTCCAGACTCTGAGTCAGCAATATCTAAAGTATTATCAGTCAGGGCATTGAGAATAGAAGTTGGCAAGTCATGTTGCAGTTGTGCAAGATTTTAGTTAGCTCACATTTGGAGTATTGGTTGCCACAGATTTATCAGGATGTTGCCTGAATTGGAGTGTATTTGTAAGAGGAGAGGTTGGACAAACTTGGATTGTTTTTGCTGGAGTGTTGGAGGCTGAAGGGCAACCTGATAGAAGTATGTAAAATATGAGAGGCATGGATTGGACAGGTAGTCAGAGATTTTTTCCCAGGGTGGAAATGTCAAATATTAGGTTGCACAGGTTTAAGGTGAGAGGGGGAAGGTTTTCGGGAGACATGCAAGGCAAGTTGTTTTTACACAGTGGGTGTTAGGTGCCTGGGAGGTTGTAGAAGCAGATCAATAGCACAAACACATAAATAGGCAGGTATAGAAGGATAAGGACCATGTGCAGGCAGATGGGACTAGTGTAGAATGGTATCATGGTCAGCGTGCACATGGTGAGCTGAAGGGCCTGTTCTTGTGCTGGACTTTCTATCTTCTATATTTTGTCATTACTGTTTTACTCTGTTCACTGCCTGATAGCTGGACAAATTGACATGCTGTCCAAGAAGCCACAACCAAGAACGGTCGGTGAATGTCGAGCAACTTGGAAAACACTGGCTGGTAGATCTGATACTTGCATAATGCTCTTCTTTGCCAAAAGGGAATGCTGTATAAATGCTACATACTTGCCCACAGCAGGTTTCTTGGAAACTCAAACATGACACAACTAAAAATGCCAGCAGATGCATCTGTGGCAGATCAGGCTTCCCAAACTTGATGAATTAACGTCATCCCAAATAATAGGGATTCAAAATCCATCCTCTCACATATCCTTAGATTAGTTTTAAAAAAGCAAAATTGGAGGGAAAGAGAATACATGATAGTTGTGTTCTTAATTGCAAAATTTAATGACAACTCTCAAGAAACAAATGAAACCCTGAGTATTAGTATGAATCACATGCTGTAATCATGGACATCAGATTATACTGAAGTACAGATTGATTTTAAAGTGTGGTTTCAAATCATACTTTAATTTCTTCCTAGGATTAGGATTATCTTGTGCATCATTCTCATGCTGAGGGGGCATGGAATCCAAAACACATGCTGAGGAGGCCAGGCTGCTGGGTTCCCTGTTGATGGCAGCGCCAGCTTCTGCTGGTGCAGAAAGGCAACTTCTTTGATCACTCTTGTGAGATGAGCAAGGTACAGCAGGAGCACTGGAGCAAACTAGAAAGCAAGACCAAAATTTAGTTTTTCATTACCTTATTCAACAGTTGTCTTTACATTAATTGACTAACTTTACCATAACGGTACATTGATATAATCTCACTGACTAAAACATGAGGGTTAAAATTTAAATGTTTCTTAAGTGTTGAGCTCCTTGTGCTGTCATAAAGAAATATGCATTTAACAAACAGTTAGACCAAGAGCCGAAAGTTTTGACACTAAAAACACAATAAGACAAATGGAGTAACACACTAATTAGGAACACAGGAACAGGAGTTGGCCATTCAGCCCATCTCATGTGTTCAGTCATTCAACACAATCATAGATGATTATCCACTTCAATGCCTTAATCTCACACTAACTCCTTTAGGTCATTGACAGATTTCTAAATACCAATCTCTACTTTAAACATAATCAACGTTTGAGCTTCCACAGTTCTCTGGTGCGCAACATTCCAAGATTCACAACCCTTTGAACGGAAAAAAAACTCCTCACCTCAGGCCAAAGTGGTTTTACACTTCAGTTTAATATTTGCCCCTGGTTCATTCATTTGACACATGGCGTTCTCAAGTTAAAACAACACTAGAAGGTTATTTTTAACTAACTAATAAATTAATTTTTCAGTAAACTGATATGATTTTATATGAAGTGCAAACATTTGCATGGCTCTCTGAAAAACACAAAGGAAGAGCTAATTGGATAGTTCTTTTGAAAAATCTGTCCAATGAAGATTTGGTCAAGTATTCATCTTGTCTATTCAAATAGATATAATCTCAGGATTATTACCTGGGTCACACTTTAACATTATGCGCTTTCTGCCAATTTAAGAGATCAATGTGTGGTTCAAAGACTGATGCAGAAGAAATGGGCTCCAGTACTGACCAAGTGGAGGTTGTAGTGTTGGGACCACGTACACCTGAACGGTACTGAGACAAGTATTCTTGTGAATCAATTAACTCGGGACAGGGTATGTGGAACAGGTGGAAACCCCTGGAAGAGGTCGCAGAAACTGGAGGAGGGAGGAAGAGCGACAAGGAGAGCCACTCCACGCTGTCTCTCTCTCTCTCTCTCTCTCTCCCCCCCCCACCTCCTGTTCTCCCTTGGATTCTAACCTCTGCAGCCCTCCACTCTCCCTTGGTCCTCTTGACTTCTCCCCACTACCATCCCAATCTCTTATCCCAACCCCCAACCCTCATCCTAACCACCAAAATCTGCACAAAAGCAGTCTAGAGGAAATGTCTATATATGGAATGATAGAAAGGGGCAGAAAATAATGAATCACAGAATGCACCAATAATCAAGGCTAGATACGTCAAAGATAACAAAAAGACAAAAACTAAATTTCTGTAACTGAATGTGCGTATCATTTATAAATCAAACTATTTGATAGCATACATTGAAGTAAGTAAATATGATCTGATTGACATTCTGGCTGAAGCATAATAAGGACTGGGTCCTGAATAGTGAGAGGTACATGACACTCAAGCAGAATAAGAAGCTAGATGAAGGGGGAGGGCTAGCCCCATTAATTAAGGATTGCTTCTGTCTTCACAATGAAGACAAATAACATCACAAAAATTGAGAGGGAGAAACTGAAGGAAATGAGTATTAGTAGGGAAAGTGTGTTAGGGAAATTGATAGGATTAAAGGCTGATAAATCTCCAGGGCACAAGAATCTACATCTCAGAGTCCTTAAGGAAGTCGCCTAAGAATTAATGAATGCATCGATGGTCATCCTTCAAGATTCTTTGATTAATTATCATCACATGTATCAAAATACAGTGAAAAGTACTGTATCGCGTGCCAATCAAATCATACCTTACACAAGCACATCAGGGTAGTAGAACAGAATGCAGAATGTAGTGTTACAGCGACAGAGAAGGTGCAGAGAAAGATCATTTTCATTACATGAGACGTCCTTTCACAAGTCTGAAAACAGCGGGGACGCTGTTCGTAAATCTGTTGGTATGCGTTTTCAAACTTTTGTATCTTGTGCCTGATGGAAGAGGGTGGAAGAGAGGATAACCAGGGTGGGAAGAGCCTTTGATCGTGTTGGTTGCTTTCCCGAAGCAGTGGGTAGTGCAGGCAGAATCAATGGAAGGAAAGCTGGTTTTCCTGATGGACTAGGCTGCGTTCACAACTCTCAAATTTCTTGCAGCCTCGAGCACAGCAGTTGCCATACCAAGTGGTGATGCATTGATAGGATGCTTTCTAGGATACATCTATAAAAATTGGTAACAGTCATTGTGCACATGCCAAATTTCCGTAGCCTGCTGAAGCAGTAGAGGCATTGGTGTGCTTTCTTAACTGTAGCATTGACATGGATGTACCGGGATAGGTCATTGGTAATATTTACTCCTCGGAACATGGAGTCTTCAAACACCTACACCTCAGCACCACTGATACAGACAGAAGCAAGTCCTCCACTCCGCTTCCTGAAGTTGACGACCAGGTCCTTCATTTTTCCGCCATTAAGGGAGAGATTGTTGTCTTTACACCATGCCACTGAGCTGTTTATCTCCTTCCTGTGCTCTGTTTCGTTGTTGTTTGAGATCTGACCTATGGTGGCATTATCAGCAAATTTGTAAATGAAATTAGAGTTGAATTTGGCCACACAGTCCTAAGTGTATCATGAGTATTAGAAAGGGGCTGAGTACACAGCTTTGTGGGGCACTGGTGTCGAGGATTATTGTGGACGAAGTGTTGTCGCCTATGTTGAAAAGTTGGGTAGAGTACTTGTGAATTAGAAGGAAGGATGTTAGAATTTGTTTCTAAAAATGATTGGTGGGTAAGAGTGTGTGGTCCCTTTAAGAGGAGATGTGCTTTTCTAAGCTTGGAGATTAAAAAAAGTCTGCCAGCAGATCTGGATGTACAGACAGTTCTAAAATTGAAACATATGTATCAATTGGCTGTGTGATTGGCAACCTAGGCTTGTTGACAGATCGGAGTATAAAGAAGAGGGGTTTTTGAAAATCAGTGCGAGACCAAACTGCCATCAGAAGAGTAAAACTCTGACTCTTACAGAAAAGCTTTAGGCGCTCTGATTAAGCACCATCAAGAAGGTACCAGAGCACTCTTATCTGGTATTCCTGACACAAGGATTCAACGAAGAAAGAATTTCTGACTGAAGAATAGTGGAAAAGGTACAGAACATTCCAGAAGATGCATCCCGACTGTGGTTTTGAGGGTCTAAGTTTTAATTCATTTTTCTTATTACTTTGGTTTATATAAGTGGGCCTTGTTTTTATTGGAACAACAAGCCATTAGAATTTTGTTCTGTTCAAGGATAGTTGGTAGTTAAGGCAAATTGCTTGGTTTGTTAGTAGGTCTGTTAATTTGTTCACTGAACATAGAACATAGAACATTACAGCTCAGTACAGGCCCTTCGGCCCTCGATGTTGCGCCGACCTGTGAAACCTATCTGAAGCCCATCTAACCTAAACTATTCCATTATCATCCATATGTTTATCCAATGACCATTTAAATGCCCTTAAAGTGGGCGAGTCTACTATTTTTGCAGGCAGGGCATTCCACGCCCTTACTACTCTCTGAGTAAAGAACCTACCTCTGACATCTGTCCTATATCTATCACC